CGCTGGTCGTCACCGACCCAACTACTAGTCTGGCCCTCACTGGCTTATCTATGGGAGAGCGGACGGGATCCCGAGTTTTCCAGTGGGTATGGTCGTATGTGCTTGTTTATTTTCCTTCAGCCGTCTATAAGGTTGGTGGCTGGGCAGGTAAACATGTTTGTTACTATCGCAGAAGAAAGTCGACATCTCGAACTTGCGATTCAGCCAGGAAGACATTGGTCAATATCCACAACGCTTTTAAACTCAAGCGGGTTCAAAAAATAGTAAAATAATTGAAACTAAAGTCAAGCAAACAAAGTAGCACCTCCATCATTACGCCAGCCAGAAGCCTTGACAATCTCATCAACAGCCCCTGCAGGAGAAGGTCCCCAAAGGAGGAGGAGGTGGTGGTGCCGCAGGAGGTTTTGGTTTATTAGTAGAGTTGTACTTTCCTGGTGGAGGGCGATTGGGGAAGCTTGTGAGAAGAATGGGAGGAGGAGGAGGAGGAGGAGGAGGAGGAGGAGGAGGAGGAGGGCCGCAAGGGCAGTCGGTGGTGAGTATTGTTGTTGTTGTGAGCATCTTCAATGGTTGACGTGTACGAGACGGACTACTGTTGAAGCAGATTACGGAACGGGTAGTGGTGGTGGTGGCACGTAAGAAAGTAAGATGGTTTTAACAAAAGCAGCCATATAAGCAGTCTATTTCGGAAGTTCGGAGTTCAAAGTCTTGCCTACTGTGATAACTTCTTGTTTATGATATCATCTTTCTCAACTTAACGTCTTACGACCATCTACCTATCTTTTTCAACAAATTTATGCGCTAACAAACCTGTCCCCAGTAACTTATATCTAGTAAATGACGCCTGTCTACCTACCTACTAATTATCACATACTATCCCGCTCCCTTAACTAAAGGAAAGAGGGGAAAAGGGGGGAGGGGCGACTCGCTAGCAAGCGACAAGATAAACAACAAAAAAGGTAGATTAGTATTTTCGATTGTCACTTACTAGTTCGATACATACACACATATCGTTCCTCAAGCTGTCTATACATTTTACCTAGTGGAGTGGGTGCGAACTTGCCTACCTACTCTGGCAACACACGGGACACTCACGGGTATCGGGTATCTATCAACCTGCTTACTTACCTACCTCTTGTTTCGATTTTAGGCAACGTTGGTCTTTGCCCCGTTTAGTTCAACCAGATGAGGATGCTAAACAGGCTATTAAGCATGCTAATCACAAAGGTCTACAAAAGCACACACCAAAGACGAACAGGGAAGAGAGATCGATGTAAAAGAAGTCAAGGTAAATGAATCCCTTTTGTATTCAACCCTCCTTCAAGGTACTGGAAAAGCCAGAAACAAAGCTGACGGCGCTAAAGTAAAAAAATAAAATAAAAAGCATTGGCGACACCCTCTATTAACCAGCCAACCAGCTTCCACTACACCTTGTGTCTCTTTCTTTTCAAATGATAGACCACACACATACACACACAGCAGAAACTTAACTTTCTAACCAACCACTCACGCCTCAGCCCAAGCCCAAGCATAAGCCTAAGCCTAAGCCTCCTCACCACCCTTATCCTCCACCTCCAAAGGCTTCACGTTTCCACTTCCATCTCTAGTGACATGCTCCGCGACAATAGTCTCTCCAGCTGTGTTGGTCACCAGGGACTTGACCTCCTCCTTTGGCGCCTCTTCGTCGGGGACAGAGCCAGTGTTAGAAGAGTTAGTAACCTCGGTATCAGCAGCTGCTGCCTCAGCCTTTGCTGACGCAGTAGTAGCATCGCGCTTATCTTCTACCTGTTCGGTGGCTTCAGAGGCAGCAGTCTCAGCTTCTCTGGCTTCGACGGGTTCTGGAGCGGGAGCTTCGGTCGAAGTAGGGGTATCAGCCGGAGCAGAAGATTCGGCCTCGGTTTCGGCTTCGGTCTCCTCCTGAGCCTTTAACTCCCGCTCGATGGCGGGGGTGGAGGGGAAAGCACCTGGTGCTTCGGGGGTGATAGCCTCGGGGAGAGGACTGGGCTCGGACTCGGGCTCGGGGGTCTTTTCCTCCTTTATCTCTTCCTTTGGTGCCTCCTCCTGATCCTCATTCTGGAAAGGCTCAGGAGCAAGCTTTTCTACCACAACCTTGGCCTCGTCCTTGACGTTCTCGAGCGTGGGCTTCTCAGCCTCAGTCTCGGTCTTGGACTCAGCCTTAACCTCTTCCGTCTTCTCCTTAGGCTTCTCCTCTTCTAGTGCCTTCAACTCAGCAACACCAACACTAACACCACCCTCCTCACTCTCAGGGTCAATAGCCCAATAACTAATCGAAACCGAGAAACTCAACTTCGGACCAGCCACCTCCTTCTTCTCCTCAACCACCGCCGGTGCCGGCGCCGCAGCAGCCGCAGCAGCAGCCTTAGCAGCTGCAGGCGCCCTTCTCTGGGGACCCCTCGCCCTGCCCTTCCTAGCATCACTAAGCGGCACCTTCTCCTTCTTCTCCTCCTTCTCCTGCTCCTCAGCCGGCGCCTCCTCCTTCTTAGCGGGCATTTGCGGGCCGAGACGCAAGCGATTGTTGAGGTCGTTCATGAAACCGGCCTGCAAAGCGGCGATCTTAGAGCCCATCGGACGAGCGGGGACGGCGGGCTTTTGACGCGGAGGAGCGGCGGCCTCGGCGGGTTCGAGACCGCCGGATGTGGGAGACGCCTTGACGAGGCGGGCGGGAATGGCGGGCTTGGCGGCAGGCTTGGGCTTGGGACGGTCGGGGATGGATGGGCGCGAAGGAAGAGATGGGCGGGCGGGAATCACCGGGGGCGAGGGCTTTCGTTCTGTGACCACGGCGGAAGTGGGGGCAGGCTCCTTTGGCTCGGGGGTCTTGTCTTCGATCTCGGGCTTCTGGGCGAGCTTCTCGTCGATCTTGGGCTCAGGCAACTCTGTACGGGGAGAGACTTGGGGAGACTCGGCTGTGGCCTCCTCCGTCTGCTCCTCGTCCTGCTGGGGGGTAGAAACCTCGGTCTGCAGCTGCAAGCTCTCCGGGCTATCCTCCCAAACATCGCGGCTAGGGAACCTCTGAGCCATGGCCGGCCTAGCCTTGGCAGCCTCCTTCTTCACTTCCTGCAGAAGATGGGGCTGGCCCTGAACCCAGGAAGGTTTTTGCTGGTGCGAAGAAGACTTGGGAATACTCGACTTGACGAAACCATCGGGACCGTTTTCCCGGGCTTCCTTTTCGGCAAGCTCTTCTTGTTGACGAGCAAACGCTTGAGCAAAGGTCTCGCCCTCGCGAGGTTCTACCTGGGGCTTGGCCTGCTCCTGACCCTCTTCCTCTTGCTGCTCCGCGGAGGGTTCCGGAGTGGAAACTTCGGCAGTGTACATGGTACTGCTGGGGGCGTCCTCCCAGACGTCAGCACTGGGGAAGCGGCGCTTGTGTTCGGTCTTGGGCCGCAAGGGCACCTCAGGCTTCTTCGCGGGTTGTTCGTCATCCCTGAAAAGGGGCTCATATTCCTCGACATCCTCGAGAGGAGTAGAGCGCATCTCGTAAGAGTTTTCCCTGTAGATGCTGGTCGGTCTGCTATTCGGGCGGCTCTTGTGCTCAGCATGTTCGCGGCGCTCAGGCACAACGGCCGGTTCGTGATCATAAAGAGATGGGTTCTTTGCAACCTCATCCTCGGCAAGGATGGGCGCAGTGTACTCTTCCTCCTCTTCAGCCACCGGTGCCGATCCGTCCATGGACTTGCCTCTGGAGTGGCGACGGCTGGGCTCATCCACGTGAATCACGTTTTTGGGTTCTTCATCCTCCTCAAGAGCGCGGGGCTCCCCACCGTCGTCTTGTACAGCAAAGGTTGGCTTGACAGGAGACTTGCGCCGGGAGGAACTAGGGCGGGGAGATGCGACGCGGGAGGTAGACTCCTCGATGGCTTGCCATCCGATCTGCTCGCTGGGGGTACCGGGATAGTTTTGGACACCTGTGGGCAGAATATGTTAGCCAGAAGCAAGTATAGCAAAGTATGCATACAAATGATGCTTACCAAGACCCGCTCCACGACTGGCGGTCTCACGAACAATCTTGTTCAGGTTCTCACTGCTCATGGCGAAGTCGTTGGAACGATCGTATTGATAAGGCGTGTGCTCCTTCTTCAGCGCCTCGGGGTGCTTGTCAAAATAAGCCTTTTCAAGCTTGTCCACGGCAAACACACCATGGCCATGAAGGCCATAGCTGCCGGGAGGAAGGCCGCCGCGGGAAGAAGTTCTACGAGTATGATTCTTGGCCTTTTCGGCAGTTGCGCCAGGAGCAGGCGATGGAGCCTGGACATCACCAGCGTTCTTGTACATGGGCACTTGCTGGCCAATCTGGGGAATACCATGCTCGTCTTCCAAGTCCACCGACAGCTGGCTAGTAGTGCTAGCTTTTTTCTTGAGACTCCTGTTGGCCGGAAGGACATGTGTAGACTCGTCGTGGCTGCTGGGACGGCCGATTCCAAAGGCCGCAGCTCTGTCGCTATCGGTGCGCGTAACAGCCATAATGCGCTGCTTGGCATGAGCAGGAGGCAGGGACGGCTTGGGCGCATGGAGCTTGAGATCGTGGCCGATGGTCCTAGTTTGCTCCGGGGTAGTACTCTGCTCGCTGGAAGGAGGATTCTCGGTGATGTTGGCATATTCCATGCCCTCTTGGCCGAGGGACGGCAGGTCAACAGACGTAGATCTCTTGATGTCCTCGCCATTGTGACCGTTGCGCAGGGGATGCGCAGACTTGGGTTGAATAGGACCCTCGTTAAGAGGCGAAGGCGCAAAGCGGTTCGGGTTCGGGCTCATGGAGCGATCGATGCGGTTCTTAAGCGGGCGTGGAGGGATCATTGGGGCTGGCTGTTTTTCCGTACTCCTAGACGGTCTAGGGGGGATGGGAGGCTGGGATGCTGTGGTAGACATGGTGATATCTGGGCTCGGGACGAGTCGAAGCTATGTATGTACCGTGCGTATAATGGTAAATCTGGCTCAGTGACCAATGTCTCGGTTCTCTGGATATGGCTGTCGAGCTGTGAAGCACGTCGGTATCAGAGGCAGTGGCGGGTATGATGGGTCGTGTAGTATCGTCAAAATCGAAGTCACTCGTGTAAGTGGCTCGGTACTAAAGTGACTACAACAGGAACGTGCGCCTTGGGGTTAGCACAGGTTCTTTACCATGTATTCACAGGAACAAGTCAATGGCAACCGATGTCAAAGGAACACTGGGATGTAAGATAAGTGCGCCTGGTAAGCACAAGGATGTGTTGAAGGTGAGGGAAGTGGGTGTGTATGCTTGGTGAGCTTTCGTGATATTGTGGGTGGTGATACGGCAGTGTGCGGCCAGAAAGGGGCAACCCGGCGGAGAAGCTGGGCTTCCGGATCGCCTCCCCCTTGGTCACCGCTTATGGGTTTGGACGGTTCGCCATAGTCTGGAAACACCGCGCTTGCGCCCATTCGCTTGGGATCCAGTGCGTCTCGGCTGTTCGGTTGGCGCGGCTCTCTTCTTTGTTAGGGGGCATCGTGAAAAGGTATTCCAAGACTTTGCTCACGCAGCCTTCCGCCTCACAAGATAAGAAGTCTTGTCACTGCCATGGAAACTTGTACCGAGAAGCCCGGTACTGTCTGATAAGACGATGCCGGGTACTTTTCTTTGCAATAGCAGTACATGTAGCTGGATGATGAGCTTCCATGTCTGGACATGGCTATCGCGGGAAAGAAGGAGATCACCATTGCCCATCCGCTTGCACATGTACAAGCTTCAAGTTGATGCCCTTTTGTCCTTTCCCAGCTTCTCAGCTCCACGAATGGCTTCATATTATCCGTACCCCTTCTGCCAATTCGGGGTTACGAAGACTTCGATGGCTCGGTGAGGTTGACATGGAAGGTGGTGTTGTGTCCATGTCGTGGCTGGGCAGATGTTGGGGCAGGATGGAAAAGATGGATGGTGGGGGACGGCATGTGTCAAGGTGCCAGCAGGAAGGCCGGCGCTTGCTCAAGCCCGTGGAAGCTGAATCAGACGGATGGGATGGATGGATGGCGTGTGCCACGGTACTGCACTCACCTAGAGATAAGGTTCCGTGTTGACAACGCAAGTATAATGGTGGTGGTGTTGACGGGCGATTAGGTTCATAGGAAGGGTTGAGTTGGGGTCAATTGGGAAACTTGAAAGAGTAAGATGGATGGATGATGGCCTCTCTTGCTTTCCCTGTTCTTTAAAGAAGCTTGAGTCAGGTCGATCGAGTAAGTTGTTGCAGGTCGAAGTAATAATGGAAACAAATGTAGGTATTGGCGATGGAATGAACTCGGTGGGCGGCGCGCTGGCCACTTATATCGTCTTTGTTATGTACAAACAGCAGACTGGAACCTGTGAGAGACTGAGAATGTCCGTCACTTCATCATGCATGCCGCACTAATACTCGAAATACTGTCCCGACGACTGTCTATCCGCACAATGAACTGTCTGCTTCCATGACCAATTGGGGCATTCATCTGCAATAGCATGTGCATCGTCAATGGCCTCATTGGGCTTAGGACAAAGTGCCCCAATGCCCCTCATCGTCATTTGGCGATTCAACCGCCATGGTACCGCAAAAGTACCGCCAAAAGCCGTCATCTGATGGGGCATATACAGTATCATTCATTGTACTGTTACACGGTACGATTCGACCGGTTCCTGATCGAGTCTACTGCAGTGCAGTGCCTGCTCTTCACAATGTAGCCATCTGACCGTCAAATTCTGCAGCCCAGCCGAGTCCATTCATTCATTATGAGTATCAAATAACTGCTGTCATCACAACCCTCTCTTTTAGTCCTCTATTCAAAATCCAATGTTGTAGTTTCAAGATAGCCCGGTTCACAGACAGCTCGAGCACTCAACCGACTCCGGCTGAAGTGAGGTGCCCTGCCCTGCCCGCGGTGCTCATCAAGGTGCCCGCACGCCTCAAAGCTTCCCCTGGCAGCGCCGCCTCAAAGAACATTTCAGGTTTTCCAGCGTTAAACCCCTTTCAGTCATCCCCTGGCACCCGAGGCCCCGTCATATCTCTACCCCACCATTGCCCCACCTCTTTGAGATGCAACGACGAGCTGCCAAAAGGAAGGAAGCTGCCCTAACACTGAAGAGTTCCTTCTCAAACGGCCCAGCTCTGCAATCGAGGCCCAAGTGACGTGCAGAGTTTTTACTACAGTAGTAGTTCATAACATTGGACATCTGATTGTTCCCCTTTTCTTTTTCCGTCCTTCCGTCTCTCCCTGCTCCTCCTTTCTGTCTATCAACAGCCAGCTCGAGCACGTTTGTTTTGTTCCTATCGAGCATCAGGCCCCGAGACGGAGAACGGATACACTTTGAATATGTAGGTGGGGCGTGTAGTACTGATCTGCCCTTCTTTCCCCTCCACTTCATGACATGCTCCTGGGTCTCGATATTATTCTTGATGAGACCTTCCTCGAAAACAACACCAGTGAACAAGAGCACAAAGTGTTGTTGTCATGGTTATCGTACTGTAGTGAGGCTACTACCGACGCACTCTACTAGCGAGACGACAGCTCCGGTGAAAAAGTCCAAGACTCCGGGCCGTTCCCCTCATCTCCTCCTCTTCTCATCTTCCCTCTCGGTCCCAAGAGATGTTGGGAATGCAGCAAGCCCCAAAAAAAGAGTAGACAATTCGCAAAGCCCCAGGCCAATCACATCCGAAACACAACGTTGTGCCTAAACCCAACGGTGACCGCTTCTTTACGCCAGGGCAAGCTTCTACGCGATTTGACGCACCTCTTGCATATTTACGAGCTATATATGAAGTTCAAAGTATACGACAGGTACCAGTCTTGATCTCGTCAGACTGGGGCTGAACGTGTTGGCTCCTTGCCAGCCGAACACGTATTGTACCATAGCTCTTAGCCGCCGTTCACGATAGCAAAGGTTTCGGTCTTTTACAAAAGGTACCTTCTTTTTATCGTGTCCATGCGCTAGTCGTAAAATTCAAGCGAATGAATCTCGAGATTGTGATCCCTCTTTTCTTCTGGGAAGAGAGGGAATCTCGAAGAAGGGTCGACAAGAAATCAAACCTTCAAATGACGCAATCCCCATTTGATCGTCAAGCTCCAGGACTACATAACATCCGTCATATCATCCCACATACAACAACGGGGAGAACCCTTTGACCTTTCAATTGTTGAACAACCTCCTCTCGTGGCAACAATGTCGGTTTTCTTAGTTAACAGAAACTCGAACAACCACAAATCGGAACAGTCATCCCGAAAAGCCAAGATCGCGGGGAAGCCGATTTGAACCTACACAATCGCGGCACAAGAAACAAACCCACTGCAAACTTGTATGACGGACCATTCAATTCTTGATACGCCCAGAAAAACTCTTTGGTACAACAACTTGCATGATACCAGCCATGTATTATGTCATTCCCTCGCTGCGTCCGTTTCCCACAGTGTTTTTCAACAACAGCTCTCTCTGCAGTGCCCACAGCAAAGACAAACCTATGGTTCAAGGCAAAACATAACCGAGAAACAACCTGAATACATATGTAGAAACTGCTGATAACTTGGCCGTTTCATGCAAGACATCTACCAGGTACACTACAGCCGAGATCGCCGAAAGGTAAGGCGGTCAAACACACACACACACACACACACACACACAAATCGCCGTTCATCTCTCAAGCAAGGTCGATCCAGGTACTACTGTATATACATACATACATACATATTTACCACCGACCTGTCTCTAACGAACCCATCCATCCCCATGACACACTCAACCCCAGCTTTTTGTTTCCACAGTATGTTTCGTAGCACGAAACCCGCGTCGTTTCCTATTTCGATAATCATTTGATCGATCACAAGACTAATTTGTCGCTTTTTTTTCTTTTTTTCTACATGCAGTGTACAAGTCTGTACCTACTTACTCGTCTACCTCAACTCCTCAAGGGGGTTTCGCCTGAGGAAGTCGCCAAAATCGCGGGGAAGTTACACGTCTAGTTGGTCCTAGTTGGTTGACCCCCAGAGAGATCACCACAATCATACATAGAATGTAATGTAATTGGCAACAGGTGATTGGTTGGGCTTTGTTGTTTGTTCTCAATTGAGAGAGGACGACAGCCCCTTGGCCTTTTCGTGGCATTGACCGGTATACCTATCCTATAGTTTATACTATGGTGTTTATGGGTCGTTCGTTCTCTGGTCGAGTTACACGGAACGAGACGGATTGTGATACTAATTACTTCCACGAAAAAAAAGTAAGCAACAACAGTTTTCGAACATGGCATACCGTGGTGATACTCGGTTGTAGTTATAACCCATATGTTGAAATGTCAGATGTCAAAGATGAATGAAGAGAAAGAAGAGGCTAATCTACATCGGACGGAAGAGCTAGGGAAGGGTTCCTATATGCGTCTGTCAGATGGACATGGGAGACCAAAGAGACCAGATGGGAACCCAAGGCATCTGATATGTGATGGCATGTGCTATGATAACGGGGGACTGGAGTCTGCCTACTTTGGTATATGATGCGGACTGTTAACCACTTTCCTCAGGATGGATGATAATGCAAGCTTGTCTGTGCATGTCCCTCCGGAGTTAGTTCAATGCTGTTTCTAAAGTCTCGGGTGAATGTGCTTTGTTCGTCAGTGACAGACAGCTTGCTGGGCATGTCCGGCCAACTGTGAGTAAATAGACCAGTATAGAAATCGTCCATCTTGTCCGCTGCAAGGGAAGAAGTGTTCAGTCACTTTCAGTAGACGGGAAAGGCTTCAACACGATCACATGCGCTGAATTGGGCGAGCTCGGATGTAGAGTCCAATGATGTTTCATTTCAATACACTATATAAAGCTGGAGCTAATCGGAGCAAGGGCGAGCCAAGGCCCACCGTCCTCGGATCTGCTCTCCACGCCCGTGTCTTTCACATTCTTTCATATGAAACAAGTTTCCATCTGAAGAGAGCACGTTAGCCATGTCTCTCTTGCTTGCTGATGGGTTCCAATGGGTGTGTTTTGGGCTAGACAGGAAGTGAATGCAAGCTGTAATCTCAGAAGGAACAATTGGTACAGTCCACGTATGGCTGTATCAATACCTCATCACCCGAAGGCATAGGAATCCCTTTTATCATCATGTACAGCAGCAATGGAAAGGAGAAGAATGGTGATGGGAAGGTGAGAGGAAGAGACGGAGTAGGGAGAAGTCGTACCTTTTTATGGTATGATAACGTTATGTTACAACAGCATCATATGCAACACTAGCATGGTTGTGATGAAGCTGCCCAGAAGGACCTTCCCCAGCGATACCAGAACTCTGATACACCATGTATGTCATCGAGTCCACGACCACCTTCAGATTCTTTTCCAGTGCGTCTGGTGCCCAATCGCGACTTGGACGCGGCGGATGTGCCGTCTCTGACCATACCACATCTGTTCCGACCACGGCCACCACTTGGTGCAAAAACAATTAGTCGTCATGGAATCTCGCAGCGTCCTGTGGCTCCTAGTTGCTAGCCATGACAAGGTCCATCTTCGCGGTGTTTTAACTTCTGTCAAGATCGCAACAGATCGTCGCCGACTAGACCTCGCCAGGCGGGCAACCAGGCAGCCTAGGGTAGCATGCCGTCCATGATGTTTGTAGCAAAAAAAGCTGTCGACATTTGTCTACAAGAATTCTGCACCAATCGTTAGCCTTCTGTGATATCAGACAGACGCATTGGTTATAGAGTTGAGAAAAAAAGCAAAGGTTTGCAAGGTGTGTCAGACTGTTGAGCTTGATATATTAAGTGTTCAACATAGAGATTCAGTTGTTTGAAGAAGAATAAGTCATCATCCGTGGGGGGATTGGTACACAAAAAAAAAATGCGAATTATGTCTTACCTGTTTGAAGTTAGTCAACGACGGCACCGGTGCGCCAATTATCTCTGTTGTGATGGCATCGCGGGCCAAACAGAGACGCAAGAAGTTGGGACGGAAAAAAAGTTGAAAAGAAAAAGCTTCAAAACCCCTGCCGCGAATTTTATGCTGGCGAGAAGCAAATGGAAAGGAAAGCTTGGACCACTCACAGCGCGATCGCACAGCCAGCCGCCTGCCGGGCGTGACAGTACCCCGCTTTTAGCTGAGACCAAAATTTAACCCCACCGTGAACCTTCACTTCTGCGAACGGTATCGCGATCGGTCAGTCACAGGCCACAGCCCGGCCACAGCCCAGGCACAAGGCAGACGGCACGCAGTCGCCATAGCGCCTTGGGCGGGCAACAACAGCCTGTCGTCCCTCCCCAGCAGTAGTGAGTGGGCACCTGATATTCCCCCCCCCACCAGCCCCCATCATTGGGTACTGACAAACTTCGAACTACGAAAGAGGCCAATATAATATCAACACCACCCGCCATTCACCGATTCTCTTTTCCTCCGCTTCTTCTGCCCGACGTCTTGCTCTAGCCATACTCTTGCATATTACTCATTTCGAAACCTTTATAAAAAGTTTCCAGCAAAACAACCGCCAAAATGTCTCTCGGTAAGTACGCATGGCCAACAATGAGCCGGGGAGGCCGCACGAGCAGGCACACAGCCAGACAGGCTCTCGGTCGAAGTTCTCGGTCCAGCCCAATCCAGCTTTCCCATGACTACTGTGTTATCGCCGCGATGGCAGTCAATAAACAACAGAGAGTATCATGATTGCTAACCTCTTGGCTTCCATGACAGACTTCACCGCTATCGCCAGTGAGTAGAATCCGACCATGCACGAGCTCGAGCCGCTCCCCCTTCGACGTTACCGGTGAACATTTAGACGATATGGGGATCAAGTCTCTAGAAAGAGGAGGGCCTGAGCAGAACGAGGGCAAGAGGCGGGCAGACCAGAACAGCGCTTTCACCATGATGACCATTGCTGTCGCAATCGACTGAGCTGAACCTAACACCACGCTTTTTTCGCCTAACAGCGCAATTCGTTGCCCACTACTACTCTACCTTCGATTCCGACCGCAAGAACCTCGCTGGTCTCTACGTACGATTCCCTCTCCCAAACTTTTCACCGAAGCCGACAAGGATGCGCTCATTCATGACGTACACGCGCATGTCGACGAGTGCACAAGAGATGGACATATATGCTGACATAATCACACCACCATACAGCGCGACAACTCTATGCTCACCTTCGAGGGTGCCCAGTCTCTCGGTGCCCAGGGTATTACTGAGAAGCTTACTGTAAGTCTGCGCCTGCCGAACCAAAAGCCGTAGGGATATGAGGGTCAGGGAAACTGACAGAGCAACCCAACAGTCTCTCCCATTCCAGAAGGTCAAGCACGAGTACGGCCCGCCCGATGCCCAGCCCACCGCCACCGGTGGTATCATCATTCTTGTTACCGGCCAGCTTATTGTAAGTGACATTTGTAAACGCTGCAGCACAAGACTGTTGCCATCTAACATCCCGGACAGGTCGATGACGAGCAGCGCCCTCTTGGCTACTCTCAGGCTTTCCAGCTCTCCCAGGACGCCTCTGGCCAGTGGTTCGTCTTCAACGACATTTTCAAGCTTGTCCTTCTCTAGGGGGGAGATGGTGCATTGATGTTTTGATTATCTGAAGAGGTGGAAGAATACCAACGAAATCAAAGAAATGTCCAAAAGACGGGACTATTGCGTTTGCGTGCATGAGTGAACGAGGATATCTTTTCTGCGCGCCTGTCTTTCTGGTGTATGTGTTGCTGCTTGCTTCATGTGTAACGAAGGGAAGAAGATGGAGGAAGCCGAGTCTGGCTTTCGACTGTTGATGCTGAGGGGTAAAACTTTCTCGATACATTGTGTATGAAAACAGAGGAATAGGGGTCCACGATGATAAACGAAGTTTACCGTCATCAGGTCGTCCCATGCTTGGCATTGAGATGTTCAGTTGGCGATCTCGGAAGTAGGCTTGGCTTAGAGGCCCAAGCCTTTGGCTTGTGGCATGTCACTCGCTGGAACATTCCATGACGATGACCGCTCACTTGCTACCGAGAGGCTAGCGAGAGAGGCATCATCTATCAGATGGGCCGCGTAACGTCGTCGTCAGCGAACGAGGCTTCCAACAAAGACCAAAGGTGCTGCCTGGCAACTTGATGATGTTGATGGATGAGAAGAGCAACATCACATGAGCGATAAGCATTTATGCCATAGCGTGGGCTACTACAGGGGAAACAAGTACATGAAGAAGTCCCCTGACCCTGAAACCGTTAAATAGGCTCAAAATCGTTATCCCCTCGCTTGTTGAACTCAAAGTGCTTCATCGAAGCTCCCTTTCGGTTTCATCAAGGGAGCACTCAGTGAACAGAAAGAACAAGGGGTCCAATCAACGGCTCAGCGCATCCGTTTACACGCTAGACCGGGCAAGCGTGACACAACTTGAACCTAGCAGGCCCGGCAGCCAGGCATAGCAGCACCGCCACTGTTAGGCCGGCACTTGAAAGCACCGGCCACACTCCTACTTGGCGCTCACCTTGGGCCCTTGGCATGCCCATTGTACCTTCTGTTGCAGGGCGTCGAACCGCTACGAATGCCATCTGTCAACCTCCAATCAGTTGAGGCTTACGTTACTTTTGGCGGAACCTCCTCCTTCACAACTAATCACTTCCCGGTCTCACATCACTTCACATTACGTCGACTGCTGCTATAACCCTCACGAGCTCTTCAACAATCGTTGATTTGACTATCAGTGGCTTCTCAGTAAACCGAAACCTCAAGATCCCCTCTCAACAAACCAATACAGAAACCCACTGTTTCCCGGGTAGCCCGCCACTCGCCGGTCGACGACCCCAACCCAGACCCCATCCAGATCCAGCATCGGCATTTGGACCATACCGACTCTGTCGACGGACGGAGATCCGACCCGACCGACTGGAGGATCTTCTCTTTACCGCCCAGCCTCATACTTTGTTCACCTCTTTCTCTCGCGCTTTCCTTTTCTCTCCACAAGGCGATTCGGCAGGACACGACAACACAATAAACGGCCTACAGCACCGAGCATAAAGCCTCTTTGGAAAAGGACATCAAGGGGGAACCCAGGTCGTACTACTGTCAATTCCCATTGTTGCCGAAACGAACGAAGCAACCACCAACCAACCAACCACCTGTTTCCTACAGCAAGCGAGTGGAAGCGACAGCAACAAAGACCGCCGGATAGGTCCCTCAATAATCAACTCTCCTCCTCAACTACCCGCTCCCAACAACCAAGCAACAAACTACAACTACTCGCGAGCGAGCTAGTAAACGACGACTTTTACGAAACGAAACGAACTTTGAACTACGAGTTACGAAACATCTTGCGCAAGTAGCAAGATACAAATCGGCAGGCACGACCAAACCACCAAACACAGAAGAAAAAAGGAGTAAACGAATAGCTTCAGAAATCCAGCCAAGATGACGCTCAAGGACGAATTCGCGACGCGCAACTTCAGTATGTGTCTTTCTTTTCTTCTCCTCCCCATCCGTACAATCTGCCCCTCCGCCCCTCCCCGGCGCTGATCCCCCTCGGCGTCGGCGCAAGCTCCACCGACGCCGATGGGATGTGTAACGGGGATCTGCTCATCATGATGCAACGAGCACCTTGCTGACTGAAATGTTTTCCTATAGGTATCTATGGACAATGGTGAGCACACACAGTCTCTTTCCTTGTGTAGCCGGCGCAAGTTAGCTACGTCTTACGCACCGTCTCTGTCGATGCTCCTCGAGAGCAAGCTTGAAGCAGCTGGAGCTGTTTTCTTGACAGCTCTTCAGCCGTCGAAGATAAACCCAACAGACCAGAGACAGACATTCCCATCACATGAAGCCAAGAAGCAGAAAAGCTAATCAACCACGTCTCGCAGGCTCGGCATTCTCTCCATGATCCTCTGCTTTGCCCTTGGCATTGCCAACATCTTCACCTTTAGACCCATCATCATCGTCTTCTCTGTCATCACTCTGTAAGATGCTCTGCCATTTCTTCACTCCCCTCTTTCCCCCCTTCAAGACCACTAATCCCGCGTCACACACACAGGTGCTTCTCCTTTGTGATTCTCTTCGTCGAAGTCCCTCTCCTCCTCCGCATCTGCCCGACCTCGCCCACCTTCGACAACCTCATCCGCAAGATCTCGACCAACTACACGCGCGCCGCCGCTTACGGCGTCATGGCCGTCGTTGTCTTCTTGTCCTGCATCGATCGCACCACGTCCCTCCTTGTCCCCGGCATCTTCCTTTCGTTCACGGGTATCTGCTACGCTCTGGCGGCGCTCAAGGGCCAGGCATTTGTGGGAAGCAAGACGCTGGGTGGAGCGGGTGTCGCGCAAATGATTGTATAAATCAAGTGCGAGCACACGAGAAACAGCAAGGGGAGAGAAGGTGTGAGGAGGAAATGGGGGAACTTGGAACTTGAACTGAAAGAAAGTACTTTTCATGACATGGGAGTACGGAAGTAAGGGGGAAAAAATGAACAAAACAGGGAATACAAAAGTTTTGGGTCAAAGGGGGGGGGGGGGGGGGGGGTT